ACAATCAATCAACGAGAGCGGCCTTAGTCTTAGCTTGTTGGGTTAATTACTGGTAGATGTGAGACCACCAAGAGACCCCTTGCCTGGGGTCGAGGACGAGCTTTATATATATATATATATATATATATATATATATATATATATATATATATATTTATATATATAAATACATAAATAAATAAATAAATAAATGTATATATATATATATATATATATATATATATATATATATATATATATATATATATATATATATATATATATATATATATATATATATATATATATATATATATATATATATATATATATATATATATATACATTGTAAAAGACTATAGATGACGACTTAAAACATTGGTTTGCAGGGGTAGATTATAACAGCTTAACTCTTTATTTTGGAAGAGTACAACAAGTGATGGTGAGATGACCTGAGCCCGCGGACCCTGGGGCACGACTAAGAGGCCAAACATGGTCAGACAACTCGTCATTTATTCCTTGCTGAGGTGATGGTTCTCCACTGGACTTCGAGCCACGTGGCAAACAGCCACGAGGTCTATGTCTAATAGCTTACACAAATCGTGCTTGTGTACACGGTATATTGTTCGGCCACCTACTCACGCCTCGCCCTCGAGGCGCCTTGGATTTGCCTTAAGGTTAACCCAACCTGGCTGGTCTTGACTTGCAGGTCATTTCATTTTCGCGTGCGTTGTCCCTGGTGTATCATCATGGCTGCTCGTCCTTGCTGTCTTCTTCATCCTTGTCCTTGGTAAATCCGTCCGTCGTCGACGTCCACACGTCAAGGACGGACGAAGGTCTCGCACAGGTCCTCCTGTGCGTCATGGCAGGCGGCGCCCTTCCACATCCTGGGGCTGCTTAATACCTGCTCTGACGAACATCCTGGTCTCCATGCTTCTGGCGATTTTCCGGTGACGTCCTTCCCACAGCATCCTAAGGTGACCGCTTCTGCAGCAAGGTCCCCTTCAATGCCGTGTCAGATATCGGTGAACCAGATTATACACGTAAGGGCCAAGATAGTAAAAGAAAAAGAAAGGCAACAGAGAAAAGGGGGTGTTAAGCGTGTAGTCGGTTATTTAATTAATTTGCAGTTTTTAATGTTCGTTTTTACGTTATATTTTTTTTTTCATTTTGTGTTTTGCTTTCCCAAAGTTAAAGAAGAAAATAGAAGAGGGAGACATCAGTAAGGAAGCCAACAAGGACCTGGCTTGAACTACCAACCGTCTCTGATTGGAGAGTAGATAAGGGAAACGACAACAGCAATCCGCAAGGATTTACTTGAACCAATTGTAACACAGAGAAGACATACATGTAAAATAAAGAAATCATGTACTAGTCACTCGTCACGACTGACAAAATCGCGAGCAAAAGAGATAAATCATAGATCTTTACGCCTGCAACTACGACAGCAACAAACCCTGATGTGTGAGTGAGTGAGTGTGTGCGTGCATGTGTGAGTGACAAGGAGTGTCAATGAGAATGAAAGCGAGAGTGCCCTCCCACAGAGAATGTTTGACAAACAAAGATTAACGTTCCTTTTGACAACAATGCAATAATCTAGCAATGTAATTAATGCAAAAATTATTTTAACAACCACACTGAAAAATTAACGTGAAAAATATTCGCAAGCAAATCTCCCAAGGTAGCCATGGCCAGCTGCACATGCCAGCCTTCATCGACAGGGGGCCTATAACCAAAAATACCGTAATATATGAACCCACTCTATGCTGCAAATCTGTGATGGGCACTTGTGACATGCCCTACGGGTATCTATCACGAATCACACGATCACTTAGGATTTACCCAAAACATGTCAGCGACTTCTAGAGGGAGAGCAGGGTGTGATTAATAAAAGAATAACGATTCTAGCTTAAACCCTAGTCATATATTAATTAACAGACTGAACTGTGGTTCACATAGACTATTAGGCAATTCACGGAACCCCGGGTTATATCAGGCATCCCTGTGCACTATAATATGGGGAAGATACTAATGCTATACACAAAATAATAAATTTATATAAAATCACGTTACAATCTCCGTTCTAGCCGATAGAATGTGTCACCAATGCACATGTAACATTGCTATGCGTTATCCCTATATTGTAAACAATTACAAAAATAATTAATGGGAACATCGAGCTGTCATCTCATGTGTCATCCGACAGGCAGTGAGAGAAACTGAAATCAGGTCACCCAGCTGCCCAAACGGGTTTTCTAATGAATGACTGTCACACTGAGGTCAGGTCAAGACGGGAAATGCGCTATTAGAATATAGATAAATGAAATGATATTCGTGAAAACAATAAAAACGCGCTAAATTCATTGCAGTTGAAACAATATAAATCTCTAATTACGAGAAAAAATAATGAAATACCTGATTAATGAACGATATTCATGTTTTTTTTATACATGCCGTGATCACACAGTAATGCAACCAAAGGTTAGAAGAAAGCAAGAGCGTGCTATTTGCTGTCAATTAGCACTTTTACCCAACAAAACCAACGTGAGGGTGACTGCACATGGTTAAATCCTAGTTCCACACACCTTTTAGTGGGTCGCGTGGCATGGTTGGTTTAGTACTGGCCCTCCAGTTTCATAACCGGAGTGACCTAGGTTCGAGGCCTGGTCAGGGAAGATTGTTAAATATGTATATATATATAT